TAAATGCTTGCCTCACAGAAATCCCAAATTATTAGAGTCTGTTTTTCATTAACGGTCACGGACCTATTGACAGCGTGTACATTAAGGCCGCTGAACCATTTGTTATAAAGTCTTTGTATATTCCAGCTCCTTAACTTGCAAATACATTTTGTTTCCACTTGCTTCCTTCTTCTCCTTGTCAACTGGTGAAGCCAGGCGTAGTTCATATCGTATCGTAACTACAGCTGCATAAAAGAAATCAGTTACACTACCCACGGAAGAAGCGAATTTGACACTTACATATATCTATTTACAGATGGATCGAAGGATGGTGACGCTATTGTTACGGCCAATTCATTCGATATTTGACTCGTTTAGCGAGTGTGTGCATCAAGTGTTACTATCAATCATTGAATTGCATAATATTGTAATTGCTACTGGCCAACACGACATCGCCATATGTGCCATCACTATTAATCTCATACGTTGATTTATAATCTGTGTATTGTTAAGTGTTGATTCCCTGGGAACCAGTCAGTCATCACACACAGTTCTGGTTTTCGGTAAACTTAATATGTATGTACATTGAGATTATGTATATAACTCCCCTTATATGCAGAAAAGTAAGTTGCTAGATCATTTTTGATGTTCTCTGCAGTTCTAGTACATTCAAACACATAATCAAAATATAGTCACAATACTTCCCCTCACTGACTCTACAGGTACATTGTATAACAGGTGAAAAATTGTTGCACAACATATTACACATAACAGTATACATATATTACATGCAATTAAATCAGCTTTCGGTTAACTTTTCTCTAGTTGCCAGTTGAGATTTGTGCAGCGGTTATTCTGCGATGATATCGTATTGGTCAGTCAAGATTCCCATTGTGTATTCCTTCTAGTGAAAGAATCACTGGCATCCGTGTATCGCTTCATTGTATTGATTTTACGGGAAATATTCATGTTTCGTCCGCGTACGATATGTTTAAAATGGCATGCTCCCGTATCAAGATCGCACACAGTTAACTATCTAAAGAATGAAAAATGTTTTTTGATAAATTGAATGTCAATACACTGAGGTCATTCATGTGTATGTTTTCTGCATAACCTATAATCCTGATCAAAGGCTGATAGTAAAATCTTAAACTGTCTCAAAAGCGGCTTCGAAGGTTCCATGTACTTGACCTACAATCACACAGATAGCAAGGAATAACGTCGTGTAGGTCAACGGTTGAGAGAATGGTCAGATAAAAGAGGCAATAAATTGTAAGCTCCGGTTTTATACAGTAACACGTGTTCGTTTTCTACAGGAAACATATGGTGAAGATCCATTTCTGAGTGGCGTCTTTGCTGCAAACTTTCTAAAGGGTCTCTAACTAGCACAAGTACATACATCTATTTGGACCACTTAAATATACCATTTGGATGATTTCGGGTACATTGACGGCGATCGTGTAACGGTGTCGTTTCGCGTTTGACTAAAGTCTTCGGGTTCTATTCTCCACATGGCTACAATATTTGAATCTTATGTTGAATCTATGCTATTATCTATATTACTTAAAGCAATAGTAGAAAGAGACCCGCGCACAACTCTTCTCCCAGCCTTATGGATACGATGGTATTAGTCAAAAGCTATAGATTTGTTCTGGATTACTGACAAGACATTATTCCTTGATCATCCAAAATAGCCTAGGGTAGGAACCTTGTTCTGCTATTTTGCATTATCTTTTGGCCAGGTGTCAGTTCCACAGAGCAAACTTACCATTAAGGTGATAAGGAAATATGGGATTTCCAAAAATTTACAATTTTGGAGATGTCGACAAGGGGAGATAACTGGTGGGTCATTGTAAATGATTGTTCTTTGCAAGCCACAATACCTAATCCTCTGTTAATTGATGAGTGAGTCAAGGCAGTTAAGACAGAATCTGGAAGGAAACCAAGTTCCAAGTTTCTATGCCTCTTAAAGAAGCCTCTGAAGGAAAGTTAAATCTTTGATGGGCATTTAGAAGTGGAATGCATTCATAAAGCAAGATTTATGGATGTCAACTTCTTTATTGTGACCTGATTTCTCCGAAACGTCGTGTTATTCACAATACAGGAGTTGACATCCATAAATCTTGCTTTTCTTATTAAAAAGTAAGTTATTTAAATCTACTGAGCTGTAGGTTTGTTGGATACGTCGCGATGTGATTCGTCAACAGTGTGGTATGCACAGGCAGTGAAAGTTGTATTGTATTGAATTTGGTTGATTGCATATTGTTTTGTGTTAAGCTGTCAGTTTGTATGTATGTGTGAATGAGGAACCTCGCATATCATGACATTGAAAACAGACTGAACTTAACATTATTCCATGGTCAATATCGCAATGTTGGTGAAATGGTAGTATACGGAAGTTTGTTTCACATTTTTGATAATCCCTTCTTTTATGCAGATAAAATTATTAATAAATTAACGAATAATGCCATGCTTCTCTCAGAGTGAGGGAAGATAATTTATATAGTGATTCTTATCATATTAAAATCATGCCGTTTGTAACCATAATGACTATATTGGTTGGAACACTTGAAGAACAAAATTAAGTTCAGACACGTCTGTTTGCTGTATACATTTGGCTCCAGATCCTTCTCCAGCACTGCCCCTATCCTCTGGAACTCACTTCCATCAGAGTTGAAACTGTGTCCAACCTTTGAGAAATTCAAATCAAGACTAAAGACCCATATGTTCTCCAAGTATCATAGTGACATTTAACTCCACTCAACACTCCCTGACTTTTATCTTTATACATTCCCATTGTAGCGCCTTGAGCAGGCATATCTGTCTGGATTGCGCGCATTATAAATGTACATTAATTACTATTATTATTTGCTATTATGCTAGGAAACAAAATCTAACGTTTCCGAATCATATCAGTCATGAATGATACGTGTTATATTTGGGATTACACTTTCTCGGTAACGTACAGATTCTAGTACTTTTGTTGGGTTGAGTCCCGTCCGTGCTTCGAGTCCACGCTCTCAGAGTCAGGCACCTAATCGCCAGCACACAAAGCCATCTTGCCCAGTCAGATACTGGGGATAGGACTCAACCCAACAAAAGTACTAAACTCTGTACTTCACCGAGAAAGTGTAATCACGTGTTACAAATGACCACTTTGTAAATGACATTGTGTGTTCATTGGTGATGGTCGATGGTGTTGGATGGTAGAACAGGATTTGCTCACCCTTTTGTTGACACTTGATGTGTGCACCGTTTGATAGTGATATATAAACACATGTTTATGACAGTCGGAATCGAACAATGAACGTTCAGCAGATATTTGTAAAGACGACAGTATCGCATCCACTAAATAGGCCTATAGCATGCCTGGGAATTGTGAGATTACCCTCTTCGCGAACAACTGGTATCATCTCTGATTTTCAGGGAACCATTTAGGTTTCACCCAATATGTGTGGAGAAGCCTCAACGGGAAATAACAGGGACAGAGTATTCCCTAGCTTTGGCATTTTATGTTTACAATTTATACACATAATGAACTGGGGAAAGTGAAATCTCCAAAAGTACCCCACGTTGTACGTGTGTAAGGTTTCTCCAGAAGGTGGTCTAGCTGACGTACGACAGCGCATAGGAGACGATGCAACTATACATGTAAATATAAATGTTCGAACACTTTAATAATTACAGCTGAACATATTTCATAATACAAATTAACATCCATTAAAATTGAACAAAAAACGAGAAACAATATATAATACATTGGAACTGTAATCCCGTACATTCAGGGATGTATTGCCAACATATTCCCATTTACAGTGTTAACAATGTGTTAGGTTCATACATTTATAAACGCATAATACTTTCTGTTTTAAAACTGTCAGTTAGTTGTGACAAGTTTCCACATTTGCTAAGGCATTGCACGGTGATTTGGTTTGGTTTCTCATTCTGTGATAAGATTGATCATGGGTGACAGCTGTATGCTGCAGAAGGACGATATACACCGTTATCCAGACTTTAAATGCCATTACAAAAGTATTTGGAAACCTAGATATCATAAGGTGAAGTAAGCTGGATCAAATGTTACTTGTTAATGTAAAAGCAACACAAAAAACTGTGTCGAATGTTAAACGCTGAGCGTGAGTTACTCAAGAAGTTTCTCGCCTAAAGTCACCAATACGGACTATAACGAAGAATACGTAGAAGAACGTCTTGCTTATTGAATAGAGCCACGCTTGGTTGTAGGTTCCTACACCGTTATCAAGTTGTTGTCAATAAAGTCGTAGTCTTAGTTACTGACCAACCAACTTCAGGAATTCGGATCAAACAATCAATACAGACTAAAACATGTGTAATCCATGTTGGATAACTGGGTGAAATTTGTGATTCTCAAAGGTGTTTGTTCAGTTAAAAAATATTGTTTAATCTTAACCTGAACACGATCACTTTGCAATGAAATGACGTCTTTAACATGGTAACACCAGTTCTAGGCGGTTCAGCTTTCACTTAAATGTCTTCAGGATGGGAGTGGGTATTAAATAGATAACTGTACAAACCATTGAGGAAACGTGTCACTCATGAAGTAACCACGCTTCGAGCATGCAATGAGCGTTGAGTATTAGCTATAAATGCACTATAGCTATCCTTATTGTTTTCCTTCATATACAATTAAAGCATTCCCATGTCACTCGTGCATTATTTCTTGGAAGGTCAGATGATTATACTTTTTTCAGCTGAATAGCCGCATCTTCATAAGAAATATGTAATATTGTGGTGTCAAATACTTGATAGTCTCCATTTACTTTTGCTTTAAAGTCTATTTCTCAGTATTAACTATTTTGTCGAAAACAACCCAGTCAACAGATATAACCGTCGGTTCCTTATCTTATCTTATAACCTTCAGGGTAATCATGCCCTGGTATATATATATATACGCAGCCAAATATAAATTGAGTGACATTGTTCCTGTAACACATCCCTAATTTGTCGTCATACAGACACTTTCCCTGTGTCGTCCACACACAATGCTTCTGTTTCTTCTCGCTCTCGCCACCATCGTGGTAGGGGACTACCCCTTTAGAAATATCTCTCTATCCTGGGAGGACAGAGTCAACGATCTGGTAGGTCGTCTCACCCTGGACGAGATCCAGCTACAGATGGCCCGTGGGGGGTCAGGAGTTAACGGTGGTCCCGCCCCTGCTATATCCCGGCTTGGAATCAAACCCTACGCTTGGGACACCGAGTGTCTCCGAGGTGATGTATGGGCGGGAGAGGCTACATCCTTCCCCCAGGCGTTAGGACTTGGAGCCTCATTTAGGTGAGACCTTTATGAAGGAAATACTGCAGCAGTAAAGTGCATACAGTCAGAACGATTAGAATATTCATGTTTTATCCACACAATATTCTTGGTTTACAAGCTCAGAAGTCATCCTTACGCGAACTTGATCACTAATTGATAGTTTCATAAAGGCATGTTGTAATATAGTCTGAATGTTTAAGCAGCAATCATCTGTTTGTTCTTGAAATGGTTTCCTCGCCTATATTGCAAGTAGTATCTGTTACATAAAAATGTTTGCTATGCAAGTATAAAGAAAGGAGATCTGCAGTAATATTTTTATAATTTTGCATTAGCTTTTCAATCTTTTACCAGTGACAACATGCTCTTTCCGTATATTTTGTATAAAATACAGAGGTAGACTCGTGTGTACACACTGCAAATCTATTGCTGTACAGGATGCTGACTGACAAATGCATACCAACATATACAGCACTGGTTACTCGGGTGGTCAAGTCCGATGACTTGGCTATAAATGTTAAATGATTTCGCTTCTCCTGCAGCACAGATCTGATATTCCGGGTGGCCCAAGCCACGGGGGAAGAGGTGAGAGCCAAGAACAACGACTACACTTCACATGGGATATACGGAAGTCACAAGGGTATCAGCTGTTTCAGTCCGGTCATCAACATCGTGAGAGACCCCAGGTGGGGAAGGAATCAGGTACGCTAGAAATTAAGTGTCTCTTGTCCTTAATCTTTTGGAATTTTGCTGTCTTCCCTTATACCTTTCTATATCCATTGTATTTACCTTACTGATCTATTTCAGTATTGTGTGTAAAATTGGTTATAATGTGCAGGTCTTTTACAGAAATATCTTAGTTAATGCATAATGTTGCCATTCGTTGTACAGTGGTACAAATTCATTCGTCCAAACGTACCATGTTGATTATACAGGATGTCTGGTCACGTAGGAAATTAAACACGAAAAAATAACAGAACAGAATACGAGATATAATGACCATCTCTCATGTGTCATATCTGACCTATGTTGTGTTGGCTTCTCATACCTGTTATAGGTAATTATCCTAGCGTTATAACGATATACTATATGCGTGATCCCCTCGGGCACTGTTTCTGCTTGTCGTATAAGGCGACTGTATTCGGCAGTCAGTTTGCCAGTTTGGTTTGTACTGACTACCATTTAACTGTAACTGACCAAACACTAACGTTGTGACGTTGTCCATAGTCGTTTGGAAACTTGTCTTTCACATTTCCACATCCATGGTCTTTATATTAATGATCTATTTCACAACTGTCTGTAGCCCGTTTGCCCGTTTGGTTGGTGCTGACTGTCATTTAACTGTAAAAATTGACAGAAAACTAAAGTTGTGACGTTTAAAAATTTGGATCTTTTACCTAACCACACAAACGGGTACTACAGGGGTTCGAAAGTTGAAAGTGTTCCATAATACAAATATTTTGCTTTCTTCCCTTACACTTCAAATGATTCACTTCAAGCGAACAAAGTAATGTATAGTCATTTTAAATCAATATATATATTCCAAAACATATCCTATTTAGTGTTTCGTTTTATATCATTGATACAGAAGTCAAACCCAAGGGTGCTCCATGGTTCTGAAGTGTGGGGGTGTTGATAAATGTAATGATGGACAAAGTTATTTATATTGTTATGTATTTCATAAATTGGTTTATTGTTACAAACAAGGCCATCATACGTTTTTATGAACTACTGATTTGAAAACAAGTCTCAGTGGAATTATTTCCAGTTGAACAATAGCATCTCCTAATCATGTTGGTTACTCTGGATGCAATATAAGACTTTGTTGTTTTCTGATTTATAAGCCAAAGTATCAAATGACCTTGTCGATTATGCGAAATGATCAGAAAGCGAAAGTGTGCCCCCCATGGGAGATTTATAACCTCCTGGATTACGATTACAACATGACTCAATCGAAAAAAATAGAAAAAGAAAAGCTATACTGCAGTGATGTACCAGGCAGCTATACATATGACATACATAAATAGCTACTTTGATTAAATACCTCCATACATATTTACATTTCAAAACAGCTGTAATAAAAAGCAAGGTAAATAGACGGCACGCTCACAAACTACCATTGACCTTGTCAACCCTTCTCGAAGGCTACAAAGCCTTGTCCTACAGTCACTCACAAAGGAAGGAACTAGCGTTATTAGAGAATGTTCTCATGCAACAAAATAGACACGAGGGAGCTTCTATTCATACAGTTCCAATTGTTTGGGTTTTTTTTAGGAAACATATGGTGAAGATCCGTTTCTGAGTGGGGTCTTTGCAACAAACTTCGTTAAGGGTCTCCAGGGAAGCGATCCCCGCTACGTCAGAGCCAACGCTGGCTGCAAACACTTTGATGTCCACGGCGGCCCTGAAAATATACCTGTTTCACGCTTCTCGTTTGAAGCAAAGGTAACTTGGAGTTAAAGACTGGAGGTAACTCTTTGTCACGTAAAACACCTGTAAACAACACATAGCAGTGAAAACAACATCGTGAAATGAATCTGGCAAATTCACAAGTTAATTGTTTACGGACAAATCTATTGAGTGTAAATATAATTACGAATCAGTGCAAGATGGCCAGAAGGTAATACGCACAACAATAGAACTGCTTGTATAATGTCCCTGACTGCAATATAGGATTCCATCTGTGACCACTCGTTCATTAAATGACAGCTGCAGAACCATTTCCATACTGCCTCCATGGAAACACAACATTAGTGCTTTAGTGAATATTTCTCAGCTTATGTTTTATGAAGGATTTAACACCTTAAATATAACATGTGCTTCTATCTGGTCAATTTGCATGGACTATATGAATACTTTTGTGTACATTGAAGGAGGTGGGGTAACCTAGTGGTTAAAGTGTTTGGCCGTCACTCCGAAGACCCCGGTTCGATTTCCACTTTTGAATTATATTGTTGATGTTCCCCTCCTGAGTTTGCATATATATTGGTAAAGGCAATATTAGCAATAATTGTTTTCCAGGTGTCTGAAAGAGACTGGCGCACTACCTTTCTCCCAGCCTTCCGCTCCTGTGTCAAGGCCGGGACCTACAGCCTCATGTGCAGCTTCAATAAGTAGTGTACAAACTAAAAGCTACATGTTCTGTTTTATTAACGAAACATTACTCCATGATGACTAGTCATACCAAAATTGGGGTCCACAAAACGAACGTACCAACTCGTACCAATACGATAGAGTGAGTGACTCTTGTTAGCAAGTAAACACAAAAGAAATGTACCAGTGGCATCGTAGACACAACGTCGAATATTTTTGGTAACGGTGATACTTCTTTGTAATTCCCTCTTACGTTATTCTGTGTCACTTATGTTCAAGAATCAACGGCGTGCCAGCATGTGCAAACAAGAAGCTTTTGACGGATATTCTAAGAACTGAATGGGGTTTCAAGGGTTATGTGATCAGCGATCAAAGTGCCATTGAAAACATCATCACTGAACACCACTACCTCAACAACAGCGTCGACACCGTTGCAGCGTGTGTGAAGGCCGGGTGCAACATTGAATTGTCACAAAATCTAACCCAGCCCGTGTACATGTCTCTTGGTACGAGTATATTGTTTGGGAGTTTACTATGGGGAGATGCTTTCTTTGTTAACCTGAATACGGGATGATGGCAAAGGGCTTGACCATCTTCCTTGCCAAAGTACATAGTTAAGTAGTCAAGTATTATAAACATCATCAATCTGTAGCACACGTCTGTATGCCTGTAGGTTTGGAATGAAAATCGTACCTTAACGGCATTAAGTTAAAACATGTCCTACAAATGTATCTTTTGCTGGCGAAGATACACATCTTTAACAGAAACTACAAAAAGGTCAAACATATTTTGGCATTTATCTGATGTCCGGTTCGACTTTAGCTGTAGCTTGGATTGTGTCTATATCAGTGGATTGCATGAGCTGAGCGAATTTATGCAGAGTTGAATTTCAAAGACATATTGGCTGATATATGTTTTCTGTAGATGATGATGCTTAGCAACTGTCATAACTGCCATTATATAACATGACGTTTGTACATGCAATAATATTGAACGCAAAATTTAAACCCATTTCACCTCACTCACTGCCAAACTCTAAACTATCGTAAAATGTCTTGAAATATACGAAATAAGCTAGTACACTTCCATTACAGTATTGTCTGTTTTTCTTTACAGTTGATGCTGTTAAACAAGGCAAAATTACTGAAGACGAGGTCAGGACCAGTGTGAAGGCGTTGTTCAACGTCAGAATGAGGCTTGGAGAGTTTGACCCACCGGAAATGAATCAATACACCAAACTAAACGTTTCAATAGTTCAGAGCGAGGCTCACAGGAACCTGTCCATGGAGGCAGCATTGAAGACGTTTGTATTGCTGAAAAACGAAAACAACGTCCTTCCCATAAAACCATCGGACTACCGGGATGTGGCGGTAGGTGTTGGTAATTAAAAAAACATATAATATATCTTTACAGGGTTGGGTGTAATTCTGCGCCAGTCACATGTAATACTGACGGTAATAAATAAACAAATATAACATGAATAACGTGAAGTCTTGTGAAACAGGTTGTGGGACCAATGGCTAACAATCCTCAAGCACTGTTTGGATTTTATACCCCTGACATGGACCCTAAATACACCACCACCCCTCTACAAGGTGTACAGTCTATCTGGTCTACAGCGAGGTATGGAGCTGGCTGCTCGGACAACAGATGCACTCAGTATGACCGCCAGGAAGTCCAAACAGCGGCAAAAGGCAGTGATCTGGTATTTGTGTGTCTTGGGACAGGTGAGTTCATTATAAATTTTATTTGGACGTTATTTCCAGATGTTATATGTTGTTTATTATGCATTGAGTAAAGATATAGCGTGTTTATTTGAAATAGTAAATCAACATCTCCTCCGAATTAAAGAAAAGTCTTTGTTATAAATGGTGCGACCATGCTGACCTATGAGAATATAACAAACCAACATTCCACATTCACAATATATGTAACACATCACTGCAAAAGAATACCCAGTCCTTTGGCATAAAGAGCAAAATACCTGTGGAAATGGGCCGCTGGAAAACTGAGGGGATGTCTGCTTCTTGCCTAGATGTGTTTTCCAGTTTGCTCTCTCTATCTGTTTGCATGAATAGTTATCAGCGATCCCTTCATGTGCTTCTGAACACTATATGGTTGATGGAGATGATGTTGGGGGTCTGGTGGACCCCTGACGTACAAATGCAAGTTTTATATTTTATCAAAATACATTTGGATGTGGACTTCAGATCAAAGGGGATAAAAGAGCTTAACGGGATTCTGTAATAGTTTGTACATTCTACAGGGGTGTGATGTTGAGAATACCTTTCTGTCAGGTGCTGAGCTAGAGTCTGAAGGCAACGACAAGGCCAACCTGGACCTCCCTGGACAACAGCTGCAGCTGCTTCAGGATGCAGTCGCCTACGGCCAGGGTATGTGGAGGTACATTGAATAACCACTGTGGGATTTCTTTTGCAGTTCTTCAATGCTCATTTATCAGTCACATATTAAGATAGTCTTGTTCCGTACAAGACCTACGAAAACAATAAAAGCAACAGAAACACCAAGTATCATTTCCAATAAATATGAATTTTTCGTCTGTCCTTTCAGAAGGTGCGAAGGTCATCCTCCTTCTCTTCAATGCTGGGCCACTCAACGTCACATGGGCTGTAGAGAGTCCACAGGTTAATGCCATCATGGAACTATTTTTCTCAGCGCAAGCAACAGGCGAGGCATTGCGAAGAGTTCTTTTAGCTGAAGGACCCAACTCAGTTCCGGCTGGCAGACTTCCGGTCACGTGGCCAAGGTATATAGACACGGTAGGTATATGTATTTGACTCAAAACATTTCCTGGTTATTGTTTACCAACTTTGAGCTTCACTCGACTCTTTCTCAAAAGTTATTTGGTCAGTTTAAATCATGGTGGACATGAATATCAGTACTAATAGAGTATTTTCGTGCTTGGATGTCCAGGTTGACATTTCCTTGACTGACAGTGTCATGGTACTATCATTTCATAACAGTTAGCGGCATTATGTAAGTTGTACCATGAACAATGGTGAATGTTCTGCTATAAGTACTTATATTTATTTGTTGAAAATATGACCGTTACTATCATCGTAGAGTCTTGGAACTGTTTCATTGTCATTGTAAACGTTGAGGTAGCTTTCATAATGCAACGTTTCGGTATTTGACGAGGACAGTAAGTTGTTATCCATAAACGTATCTGTCCTGTGTCATGGAACTCTCAGGAATTGGATTTGGTTTAACTGTCAGACTGATCTGAGACGTGTACTATATGGATCTACCAGGGAATTATCTGCAATATTGACCTTCAAGGAATGATGGTCAAACATGTTTGAATACCTTCTCCAGCAGCGTCACACTTGGCTCGTATGTATTGACTGTCGACTTCTTTAACAAGGTGCCTGACATGACAAACTACTCAATGGTTGAACGCACATACCGCTACGCCACGTATCCAGTTCTCTTCCCCTTCGGCTATGGTCTGTCCTACACCAGCTTCTTCTACGACATTTTGGAGTACAACAGTGAGGTGACAGCCGGGGCCGACTTGACTGGTTCTGTGTTTCTTACCAATCGAGGATCCTTCGATGCTGATGAGGTGTGTACTATTGAAAATATGCAATGTAATTGAAAGATACTTCAAAGAATTCCTACATCATCCTTCAATATCTGCCTGAAACATGAAACTAAGTTCAATTTAAAAGAAAATAATCAATTTTTTTCTTAAACCTCTGTCGCTTGTGTATAAATAATCGAATATGCACCGGAGAATTCAGTCACTGGGCGCCAGTCTACGTAACTGGGATAACATGTCATGAATCAACCGTTTGAGCGAGCCAATCCAACCGATCCCTTTTGTCGCCTCAGAAGGCAAGCATGAGTTGATAAAGACCGATTGTAAAGACTAGCTGACGGATCTTCGACCTATTATGCACAGTGCAGGATGTCAATGACGAGTATCATAATGATATTTGGAAATCTTTGGATTGAAAAACGACCCATCGTGTCTTTATTTCAGGTTATCCAGGTGTATATATCCTGGTCTAACGCCACTGTGACAGTTCCACAGCTTCAGCTGGTCGCCTTCGGCAGAGTGTTTGCACCACAGGGTGTACAAACACAATGGGACTTCACCATTTCGGCTGAAACCATGGCAGTGTGGACTGAACAAGATGGATTTGTTGTTGAACCAGGTATGTTCATTGTGCAGGTACCAAAACACTTGGTGATGGCAGAGTGTATCGAGACTGGGCCCGGATTCCGGGTATTGATATTATGAACACACAGCTGGTGCAAATATACTTTCCCAAAAAAGAAACGCATTTTGGGATTTCTACTGTATATTTATGTTTATTTTAAAACATCTTGTAGGCTTTATGAGTCAATGAAATATAGCGAAATTGCACACTGGGAATGCAGACTTATCCGTCTTTGGCACCAACTCGAGGAAAGTCAGTTTGAGTGTCACATGGAGACGTGTGGTGGCGCTGAAGTCAATACCTCGTGTGACCACCGTGGGCATCCAGAACTGCACGGCATCGCCTCGGCATCGAACGAATAAGTCTCAGAATCTCGTGTTGCCCAATCGCAGCCCACTCTGCCTGTAGTGCCTGTGCGAGTTGCTGAAGTGTCTGGGGCTGAGGGTTACGGCTTCGCACCCGTCTGTCCAGGGCATCCCACGGATGTTCGATCGGGTTTAAGTCCGGTGATCTCTGGGGCCAGGGAAGCACATTGATGTTGTGGTTCTGGAGGAAGCCTCTAGTGTGACGTGCTGTGTGGGGCCTGGCATTGTCCTGTTGAAACAACTCCCTCTGGCGATCAATGATTGCAAGGAGTTGTGGGCGTAGGATTTCGTCTCAGTACCGTTGAGCTGTCAGGTTGCCCTGGATCATCACCAAATCACTTCTCCTACGTCAGGTGATCGCTCCCCACATCATCACACTTTCCCGGCCGAATCTGTCCACCTGGGGAACGCAAGCGTTGGCGAAATGTTCACGTCGACGTCTGTACACCCGCATTCTTCCATCGCGTCGTTCCAATAGAAATCGTGATTCATCATTGAACCAGATTCTACGCCAATTCGGTAGGTTCCAGGCCTGAACGTTGGTGCACCATTGAACTCGATGTCGACGATGTTGTTGTCGAAGCATAGGGCCATAATAAGGTCTTCTGGCACGTAAACCAGCCTCTCTCAACCTTTTCCTGACGGTCTGTGCAGAAAGCCTCCTCAATCCGGGTATTTGTCGAGCGGTACTGGTCGCCGTAGCTGTTCGATGACGCAGGTGAAGTACCCGGATGTAGCGATCCTGCGCCGCAGTGGTCGCTCGAGGTCGCCTACTACGAGGGGCATCTGCTACCGAATTCTCCTGGCGATATCTCTCCCAGAGCCGTGAAATGGTGCTTTGGTGAACATTCATGCGTCGGGCAACTGCACGTTGAGACTGGCCAGCTTCAAGCAAACCAATTGCGATATGACGGGTGGCTTCACTTAGACGTGGCATTTTGCGTTCGTCAACAATATTCCAAATACAGTGAATAATCGACATACAGCGATCAATCTTTTATACCCATCATTGGGACTATCTGATTCACAACTTTCACGTTCATTGCATGTGAATTGTGTATTCTGTGACACTATGCGCCGAAATTGAAAATCATGCTGTTAAATACGGGTATTCTACAGATGGTGCGTTTTGTTGTGATGTTTCAAAACACCATAGGACTCATAAACAGTGCAAAACCCTTTGTAAAATAATTCACGTTTTAATTCATTACTACATGAAATTGCTATTTTCATGATGCGTTTCGTTTTTGGGAGAGTATATTATCGTTTAGTCCTGTATTATCTCATGTATTTCACGAGGCGCAGTAGATTGGTCTGGGAAAGCAATTGGCGATTGTCATGACCAAAGTTGTCAGAGAAGATTACTTCATCCATTGTGAAATATCAGACTACCCTCTTTAGTATCTGGTGTTACCTTCCTCTTGAGAAGACCTTTAATATAACAACGGCAATCATAAGGTTAACCGGTTCATACACTGATTACAAGAGGAAACTTGGGTTATCTCCCATTTGACAGACACCCATTTGACAGACACCCAATTGGCAGACACTGAACTAGAAGGTTAATGAGGGTAATACCTACGGGTATAATGGAACAGTCCACTGTCCAGTGAGTAGAGCAGGGTGAGCCTGAAGCAGGCTTGTTACTGAGAAGTTTGATTGCGGGTAAATAGAACTTTGTTGTGATTAAATGATAAATGATATCTCTTCTCAAAATTGATTTTACTTTCAATTACTATCTAATATAAAAACAGGTTTGTCACTTAGAGGTTTGATTGCGTTTATTGATAGAAAAGCCCCCCTCCCAATAATAGCATATGTACAACAGAAGTTAATTGAGAAAACGTTTTGTTGGAGAGATATAGATATGAAAACATTCTGATTTGCAGTAAATGAGACACCTGCATTGCCATGTAAGATACGATTAATACCAATCAGTGTTCTGATTTTAACAATACTTTCTAAAGATTGTAACAGTTTATGTCTTTGAGTAGTATACAATGGACATTCAAGGAAGTAATGAAAAACATTCTCACATCCATGGCCACATTGACATGATGCGTCATATTTTTAAATATGTATTCTAAATAAATCGTAATTAAGTGCACTCGTCATATATCTTAATATTGTGTGCAAAACATATAACTTCTTTATTCCATATGAATAATATTTAGGTTCACATTTGTCTTTATTTGATTTATATGATACAACAGTGTCGCAATTTCTAATAGATAAGCTAATGTTTTCAATATGATGATGCCAACTCCCGTTAGACTAGAAATGTTTATGTCTTTTCATCCATCTTTCAAATAAATAGCATAGCTTCAGTTTGTTCCTGTGCTTTTATTTGGACTATTCCATTATAATGTGTAGGTAACAGGTAGTAGATAATCTGTTCACTGAACCGTAAATGTTGTTGTTTTAAGGTGTCTGCGAACTGGCTGTCTGCGTAATGGGAGGACACCGAAACTTGTAATTAGCTATGTCAGCTAGTTTATTGACAATTGAAAGAAACATTGTATTGTTTAAACATTGTTATTAGAATCGTTGATATAAATCATTAAAAATGACTATTGGTGGTCAACAGCTCTTGATGTGCTTGCAATTATTAAATTATCAAATTTGCTACAGTAATAATGGGCGTAAGTGCATACGCTAAATCAATACCTTTATCTTTTTTCAGGTGTCATTTCATTATGGGCAGGTGGTCAGCAGCCTAACATCAGACCAGCTGTAGAGTCCAATGTCCTTGCTGGCCAGTTCAAAGTCATAGGGAAAAAGGTTCTTGGTCGATATTAATAACAAAGACATGCTTTTTCAATTACTCCAGACTAGATTTCCCTGGCTAATTTCTACGTTTGGATTGATGTACAGCAAGCAGCTCAAGTGACATGTAGCATCACTATTGCACTGACAGACAAGAACACGTGAATCTGCAATCTGTAATGTACTATATTGTAAATTGTGTTAAATGGTATTATGTATTGTAAAGTATAATGTTGGAATGTTTAGCATGGTGGTTTACGTCAGGGCTGGATGTTGTCTCGGCACAACAACAGCAGCATCTTCCCTCCAATGTTTTGAAGTTTGTTTTGTGTCTGTTGAGTGTGTCTCAGATAGTAACATTTTATAGGAGGCTATAATAAAATTGACCACTATGTATATTGCAAATATGGCAACGTAAAGTCACTTAATCGTATTACGCCCTGTATTCAAATTGAAACTGTATGCAGTAAACGCAGTTATTGTGAATGGCGTTTAATCACATTTATTTACGAGTGAGTGAGTGAGTTTATTTTACGCCACACTCAGAAATATTCCAGCTATTTGGCGGTGGTCAGTAAATAATCGAGTCTGGACCAGACAACCCAGTGATCAACCGCATGAGTATTGATCTGCGCAATTAGGAACCGATGTCAACCAAGCCAACGAGCCCGACCACCCGATCCCGTTAGTCGCCTCTAACGACAAGCAGGTTTGTTTTTGTACGATTTAGAAACAGTAACTTAGTCACGTACAATAGCCCAGCGGATAAGTGCAGTTTTTTTCACTGAATTGTGCACTTTGTGTTACAAGCATGAAATTTGGCATGATTGTAGCTTATACCATTCTTATTAAATAAAGATCGAGAGGCCTCGCAGATTTTTTATATTTTTCATATTTTGGGGAAAAAGTGAAAAATGATAATTTTTTCGACTATTTTCATCATAACTTTTTCTAATATTTTTCCAATTCTCAAACATCCTATATCAAATTGTAGAAAATTCATAGCTGATCATTTTCCATACATACAAGTCTTGTCTATCTTTAATGGTTAGGTTTATGGAAGTCAATTTATATCATGACAACCCGAAAAAGGGAAAATTGACAGACATTTTTCAAAATGGCCACCATATAGACTACAACAGTAAAATAAGTATGAGATCATCCCATGATCTAACAATTTTTTATCATTTCTTTGCAAATCGAAACGAGAAGCCTCGCAGATTTTGGCCATTTTACATTTTGGGGGAGAATGGGGGTGGTGGTGGAATTTTTCAACATATTTTACCTTAAGTCAGTCTTAGATTTCCAAATCCTAATAAATAATGTATCAAGAATATTGCGAGAACAGATGAAAGTTTTTGAAGGAATATATACTCATGCCAATAATGGTTGTCACCCCCCTCCCACCCCAACCCCACACACACCTCACAGCCCCACCCCACACCCCCTCTCCAATTAAAAAAATTGAAGGAGGTGACAACCATTATTGGCATGAGTATATCAGAAGATTTACTTACATGTAACATGTATGAGGTTGGTTGCCTATGGATCACCTATAAAAACCATATTTAAATCAACGCAAACATGTTTGATTTCAACATCAATGTCAAAGTAGCTATATTCAACAATCTGTGGCAGGTTACTCATTTGTGTCTTGAGTGGAATTGTATCTAGCTTGACTGAATTAGAAAATCGTCTCCTCAACATTTGCACAGTGCAGTGCACTTTAGAGCTGCTTTTACGCATTTGGACCGGTTTGAACATTTTTTACACAGTATTTATCATTATTATTATTATTATTATTATATAGGATATTCATATAACGTACATATCCATGAACTGATACATGCTCAAGGCGCTTTGTTTTTCCCCCTTGATCATTGGATGTCAATCTCAACGGCACATTGTATTATCAATCTCAACTCCCGGGGCAACATACAACTGCTGCAGCCACTCGGCGCACCAAGTTATTGTGGCTTTCCCATCCTTGTGAGGTACCCATTCACAGCTGGGTGGACTGGGACACATAGCCACAGCACCTTGTACAGGTTTACTGCACGTTGCTGTACCCGCAACTAGGTATTTGCACGTATTCATGTGGACATCTTGTCATTTACCAACAGATTCATGGGTTCTTTTAAGTGCACCGGGTTGTGTACTGTACACTAGGGGTTGTGACAACACTTAAAGAATCTGCACAGAAGGTTGACTCCAAGGTTTTTGCAGCTGGTTACAGCTGGGCTCGATCCCGGCAAGCTCGCTTGATCACTAGCCTATTGCCTAAGACAGCTCGCCCACCATGCCCCCTGCTCGCCCACAATGCATTTCAGCAATTCCTGGTAGCTTTTTGATGCCTTCGGAAGACTTGAAAATAGAGGTACAAGCTCTCCCTGAGAAAGTTATTGCCAGCCCTTATCCAGAGGGCTTGGTAACTCCTGTGATTTCATCAGGGATTGCCCCCAAACATATGCCCCCGGATATACAGCTGTCTATATGTTGGATCAAAGCTGATTCTGTTGGGGGTATATTGTCCACTGTTCTCCCCTTCGTGGGGAACAAATGCTTTCTTGCTTCAATCACTTTCATGTGCTTGCTTGCTCTGTCAGCAGCACAACAGCTCAAGCTGATGAATCTGTGCATTAGTGATTTCAAGTGGTGGACGAGCGAGAGAAATAAAGGTGCCTGTAATTTCAGTAAACGCGTTCCATCCATTCCACGAGGTCTGCTTTCCTATTCTACCAAAGGATGACACACTGTCACTTGTGAAGCTGTGAAACATTGGTAGGGATCGAGAACGCATGTTGCAGCCATGGCCAACACAACCACATTTGTGTCAACAGTATGAATGTATAATTTCTTCCATAAAGACAAGATATATACAGACGAGTCAAGGCATGGAAACCTGAATGAGTTTTTCAGACATGAATATCACTCTTGCGTACCATCTATATCTCATCAAGGTTCTCTACGTCCATGCACAAAATCAGTTCTTCTCAATTACTCTGAAGACATTCCACCACAAACTGACTCAAAACCAGATGTTGACGTATCAATCCTTGATGGAGTCGCAGTAATAAACATGCTAAAACCCGCAGCTCAAATAACACTGGATGGATATTTTATAATGTGTTCTTGAAATACTTGCATACTCCAATCAGATAGTGCATGCTGTTTGGGACAAATATCAACACGCAACGTTAAATCCAGTTCAAGAACAAAAAGAGGAAGTGCAAAAGGACGACGAGTGGAAGTTTTATGAGGTGTGATGCCAACAAGAAAGAACTTTTTGCTATACAAATATCCTATAATATGCTAATAATAATAAATACTGTGTAAAAAATGTTCAATCCGGTGCAAGTATGTAAAAGCCGCTCTAAAGTGCACTGCACTGTGCAAATGTGGAGGAGACTAATTAATTTTCTAATTCAGTAAAGCTAGATACAATTCCACTCAAGACATAATTGAGTAACCTGCCACAGATTGTTGAATATAGCTACTTTGACACTGATGTTGAAATCAAACATGTTTGCGTTGATTTTGATACTCATACATTATACATAGAGAACCTCACCCAAGTGTCTACTGATATCAATCATATCAACACGATTTGATAAAGGTACAAATTTTATTTAATTGATATCAGTAGACACAATGGTGAGATTCTATTTATCATAAAATATCATTCTTCATAACTTTTCAATGAAAACTGTAAATCTCTCAACACTGTACTACCATTAGACTTGCAGTGCAGCGATGTCATAGCATTGTGGCGTCATCAGTTCATGACGTCATGGCATTGTCAGAGCATTGTACAAAATCAGAGCATTGTACTGTCAAAACGATATCTCCTAGGAGATATCATATGATCTCACACAAGCGATATCTCCTGTGGAGGTGAGGTGAGGTGAAATTGGGTTTAACGTCGTGCTTGAGAATGTTTCGCTCATATGACGACGTGCATGCGTGTGTATGTGTATGTGCGGCTGCTTGTACTAGCCCAGACTGAAGCTAGTTTTATAGTGCTAGCCCACTGAGATACCATGCTGCAGTGAAGCATAAATACCCCACTCAGACACATTATACTGACTCCAAGCCGACCAGTCCTTGTTGTACCCATTTATGCCGAGCGCCAGGCAGGGACCAACAAGTACCATATTTTAACGTCTTTTGGTATGACGCAGTCGGGGATCGAACCCGCTACCTTCCGCTCTCCGTGCGGACGCTCTAACCACTACACCACGGATGCGGTGTGGAACACAGTTTTGGATGATAAATGTAAATCTTCTGAAATATCCCTTCAAATAAACTTTCATCTGTTCTCGCAATATTCTTGATACATTATTTATTAGGATTTAAAATTGAGTTGAGATAACATTTTTCGGAAAATTCATTTTTTCTCCCCCTATTTTCCCCAAAAAATGAAAAATGGCCAAAATCTGCGAGGCTTCTCGTTTCGATTTGCAAAGAAATGATAAAAAATTGTTAGATCATGGGATGATCTCATACTTATTTTACTGTTGTAGTCTATATGGTGGCCATTTTGAAAAATGTCTGTCAATTTTCCCTTTTTCGGGTTGTCATGATATAAATTGACTTCCATAAACCTAACCATTAAAGATAGACAAGACTTGTATGTATGGAAAATGATCAGTTAAGAATTTTCTTTAATTTATATATGATGTTCGAGAATTGGAGAATATTAGAAAAAGTTATGATGAAAATAGTCGAAAAAATTATCATTTTTTCACTTTTCCCCCCCCCAAATATGAAAAATATAAAAAATCTGCGAGGCCTCTCGATCTTTATTTAATAAGAATGGTATAAGCTACAATCATGCCAAATTTCATGCTTGTAACACAAAGTGCACAATTTGATCACTTATCCGCTGGGCTAAAGGTCTGTGTTACGAGGGCATGTTCTCTATTCGCCCACATCCCATCTCGCCCACAGTTTTAAAACAACATATTGGTTAGGGATTACATAATGATCAACTTGTGTCATACCTATGACTGAAGAATGGACTCTCCTATTTTGAAGATGTGGGCGAATTGAGATGTGGGCAAATGAAGACAAAGTAATTTACATTTTGTTTTTATTTCTGTAACAAAGTTTCATAATGTTCAGTTCAACTTGATCAGGTGTCCAGCCGCGTCCAGAAACTGTAGCGGTGATCTTCTGCCAGTTTCCAGTTGCTGCTTCTTAAATCCAAGGTGGAATCCCTCCAAGTGATTGTTTGTTCTTGGCCCAGTGTTTCCATGTTGATTCCAAATGCGAGGTGGGAATCTTGCGTCGTAGTCAACCCATGTAGATGTGATGTAGTCGTTGAACTGGCCGATTCCGTCAACGTCGGGAGACTGGTTCAATACTTCCATCCAGGCATCTTGGATCTGATCCACTGGGAGGAGGGGGGAGTGCTGCAGCACGTCGCACGTGGGTGTTGAAGGCACGGTTGTCCTTGTAGGTTTTTCACAAGGCCTTTCTCTGAAACCTGCCGCCAAACCGCCTGGGTGAAGTGGAAGTAGCATCCACGGACTTCTGCATCGGGGAAGACTCTCTCAGTGGCTCCAATAGCAGCAGCTTCGTAGTCAGTCTGTACAACGGAGGGAGAAAGTTGAATGAATGAATGAAGTACACTGTCAAGAAATCAATTGAGCATTATGCAAATATCAGTAGATAAGTTAATACTTAAAAAGGTACCTGTGAGGTCTACATCAGCACGGGTACGTGGGACTGGTGGAAGAACCTTGGCACGCTGACGGTAGAGTCCAGACTTGATACTGTAGAAGGAAGCAACAGTAGCAGCAGCTTCTTCGTCTAGGTTCTGGGTCTCTTCATTGTAGATTTGCTGGACAGGCTTGATCTCTTCTTGAACGCGTTGTCTAAGTCTGGTGAGAAGTCGACTCTCTTCTTCATTCACTAGTGGAGGATGGTTGTGTTCTGATACTGAAGTGATGTGATCCCCAATGGTGCTGCATCTACCCTTGCACTTGTCGATGATACACTTCCAGTGAGTGGCTACCTGTCTGTCAACGTGCAGTCGATACTTGTGACCTCCGTGTAGAACCTGTTTTCCTCCTCTCTGCGACAACGTGAACTCTGCTTTCTGTAGGTTAGCCATTGCGACTGCCCATACTTTGCAAACTACCATACTTATAGGGTTGCAGTGAGTTACTAAATTGAAAGGAGAGAGAAGTTATTTCCGATTAGTAGATACATTAATTAATAATACTCTCTACTTTATTTAGACAAAATTGAAATATACTTTAAATCTTCTCTAAGTTTCCTTCTCCATCCTGTATAACTACCACAACACTGAAACAAGAGCACTTTGTCAAGTAACTCAGAGATGTATGTGATTTTAGACTAATCCCATTATGAGAGTAGGGGGTGCATTGTCTGACCCTAATTAACCTCTGATGTTTTTGTGGGCCAATTGGGATGTGGGCAATTAGGGATGTGGGCGAATAGAGACTAAGCCGTTACGAGGATGTGTTTTGTTAATTATAATGTCACATTAATTAACTTTTAGGTATTATGGGTCACAAAAGTTAGAGGCGCTGAGTGTGGAATTGAACTCGCATCTTGAACCTAGGCTATCTAATTTCACCTGTTCAGAGTAAGCTAAAGAGCTACGCTAAGAGGTACCTCCCCTTTGTTTTGCTTTCGGTGGATGCTGTATGCTATGAGAAGATCGTAGCGTGACGTTGCGTTTGCTAGATTTCTCTGTAACTGTATAATAGGTATATATTAGGATGGTTGTATTAGGGGACTACTTGGGATTTACGCTCATCTGTCTGCTAAATCGACATTTCAAGACCAACCACTCACGAGGCCTCGTCTACATTGAACATTAAACACCTGTCAACAATCTTCAATCTGTACATCTGTTTTTACTGGGAATATCAATACTTTGGTGAGTTAATATTTTAGATTTGTGACCTAATATTTTAGATGTGTTGCCCAATATAGTATTGTTTTAGAAATATGTACTGTCATTTATCCTAACCTTGCTCATTGTTTATTCAATATATAATTGAATATTATTAACTTGTCTGTGTTTTATTTTGCTGGTTTAAAGGGGACTCACAAGCCGTTTATCACAGTAATTTCTAAACCGTAACATCTGCTTCTGACCTTTGCACCTTGCACATCCAACGAACATCCTTGCATCTTGACTCTTGGGGACAAGTAAAGAGACATGGAGGGCAAAGATATGAAAAACCAACATTTATAATCATACAGCGGATTCGCAACGACTAATAAAATGTTTTGGTACACCTAGCTCACGCAACGAGTGAGTGAGTTAATATTTATCGTCACATCGGCAATATTTTAACCATATCGTGACGAGAACAACTAATTACTGTATTATAGAACAATAAAATTAGAAAGTAAAAACCTGGTAAACGACCAGTATATCGCAGATATAACAGTAAATAGTACGTTGTCATAAAACGGTATTTTAAAGAGAACAATACAAAGTGTTTGATGGGCATTATAGAAGCTGAAAGTTGGCCCAAAAAGCAGCCCCCCAAAGGAGTGATCTACAAGAGTACTTGTGAATGTGGTGACTCCTATATTGGTGAAACCTCCCGTCCCGTTGATATGCGCATTAAAGAATATAAAACCCTCAACAGCAAAATCAGACAGCAAATCAACCCTCTCCGATCACCAACAGAAATTCCCTACCCATCAAATCAAGTTTGACAAATTTGAAATTCTATCAACCAAGAATCAGGAATTCACAAAAAGAAAACTCTTGGAAGCCATCGAAAACCGATGCCACGAACCGTTGAACAACAGAGAATAAGGATACTACATACCATCGGCCTATGAATAACTGATCAAACTATAGACTCTATCAAGCAGAGAGCGGAAGGTCGCGGGTTCCATCCCCGACCGCGTCATACCATAAGGCGTTAAAATATGGTACTTGTTGGTCCCTGCCTGGCGCTCGGCATTAATAGGTACAACAAGGACTGGTCGGCTTGGAATCAGTATAATGTGTCTGAGTGGGGTATTTATGCTTCACTGCGGCATGGTATCTCAGTGGGCTAGCACTATAAAACCAGCTTCAGTCTTGGATAGTACAAGCAGCCGTACATACACGTACACACGCATGCACGTCGTCATATGAGCGAAATATTCTCAAGCACGACGTTAAACCCAATTTCACCTCACCTCACCTCACCTCACCTCACCTCACCTCACCTCACCTCACCTCACCTCACCTCTATAAAGCATCCAATCAGCTTGTTATTACAACTTAATCCCCCTTGTTTATTGGCTTCGTTCCCAGTATCATTTGTTGTTCTTAGACTCCCACTGGCCTCTCATAATTACGTACCAGTTGTTATTCAATTACATGTTGTTGTTAATGTTAATCTGCTGTTGTCAAAACATACTGTGTATATATACCCCTCTACATTTGGTTGTATTCACTTTTAGCTTGATAACGATAAGAATCTACATCGAAACGTCGCTCTATGCAATAAATAAGAAGTTGTCATCCGTAAAGTTGTATGTTTCATTTTTGAGAACAATTCAATATAAAATTCTATTGATTGCAAACAACTGAAAGTAGATCAGCATACTAGGGACCTTCACGCAACGATCTCTGTGCAGTATTTTCATAAAGCTTACATTTAATAAACAGATACAGTGAATAAACACAGATCCATTCCTCAATGACTCATCTTTGGGCTTCATGCATGTTCTCTTCTGCCAAAAATATAGCGACGAGCGAGACTACATTATATAGACACTTTAATGTGCATACAATGTGTCTCGTCCTTTTATCTTTGTGTTATAATTTACAAAACAGATTGGTTTGATATATCTGTTAGTTTGTCAACTGCATGTACATTCAGGCGTACACTGACGTGCCTTTACACGTGTTGCTTATGGTCAAATGTTTTATTTGGGATTACACCTTCTCAGTAAGATTCTAGTACTTTTGTTTGGTTGAGAACCATCCGGAATTTGAACCCACGCTCTCGGAGCAAGGAACCTAATCACAACACACAACGTCATCTTACCCACTCAGCTACTGCGGATGCAACTGGTACCAAAGTACTAGAATCTATACATTTCTGAGAAAATGCAATCCTAAGTGGTACATGTGTTACAAATAACCACTTTGTAAATGGCAATGTGTATTCATTGGTGATGGTCGATGGTGCTGTCTGGTTAGGCAGGATTCGCTCACATTTCCAATGACACTTGATGTGAGCACTGTTTGATAGAACACTTTTTTGATATGAACACATGTTTATGTCCGTCGGAATATAGCAATGAACGTTTTGCAGATATTTGTTAAAGACGACAGTACATCATCCAGTGAATCACCCAATCCGCTACAGCATGCCTGGGAATTGTGAGATTATCCTCTTCGCGAACACCTGGTGTCATCTCTGATTTGCAGGGAACCAGTCATTTAAGTTTCACCCATTATGAGTGGAGAAGCCTCAACGGCGGATAATCGGGACTGATTATTCCCTAGCTTTGGCATTAAATATTGACAATTTATACACACAATGAACTGCGAAATGTCAAATCGCCAAACGTACGCCACGTTGTTGGGTGTGTAAGGTTTCTCCACAAGGTGGTCTGACTGATGTACGACAGCCACATGGTAGACGTATGACCATGTAACTATACATGTAAATATAGATGTTTGAACACGTTAATAATTACAGCTGAACATATTTCATTATACAAAATAGCATCCTTAAAATTGAACAATACACGAGAAACAATACACATTGGGAATGTAATCCCCAACGTGCGTGTTTGTTTCCTTACATTTAGGGATGTATTTGCCAACATATTCCCACTTACACTGTTAACAATGTGTTAATAACATACACACTGTTTATAAACGCATAATACGTTCTGTTTTACAACTGCCAGTGTTAGTGACACGTACACACATTTGCGTAGGCATTTTCCGGTGGTTTGGAAAAAGAGGAATTTCAACATTCTCATTGTGTGATAAAATTGATCTTGGCTGACAGCAGTATGTTGTGGAAAAACGATATACGCCGTTTTCCAAACTTTAAATGTCATTACAAAAGTTTGTGGAAACCCAGATATCAGAAGAAGTAAGTTTGATCAAATGTTACCTGTTAATGTGAAAACAAAACAAGAAACTATGTCTGATAGTTAAACGCTGAGAGTAAGTTTCTCAAAGAGTTTCTCGCCTAAAACGCAAAGATATAAAAGTGTTTTGCAAACGAGCCTTCTTGTTTGTGTTTAAGTATTGTCTTTTATTATCACCAATACTGACTATAGCGAAGAGTACATCTGTATGTATATGAACTTCTCTTTAACTGAATAGAGCAACGTTTGGTTGTAGATTCCTACACCGTTATCAAGTTGTTATTTTCGTTACTGACCCATCAACTTCAGGAATTTTGGTCAAACAATCAATACAGACTAAAAGATGTGTATTTATGTTTGATAACTGGGTGAAATTTCTGATTCTCAAAGGTGTAAGTTCAGTTAAAAATGTCTGTTTAGTCATGATTATAAACTTGATTAAGATCCGTTTGCAATGAAATTACGTCTTCAACATAAAGTAACATCAGAAGGGGGGCATGTTCGGCTTTGTTTTTAGAATGGGAGTGGGTATAGAATAAATAACTGTACTTGTCATTGCAGAAATATGTCACTCATAAATTAACCTTGTTTTCAATCATATACTCTCCCGTTTCGCTCGTGCATATTTATTGGAGCGTCAGATGATTATACTTTTTTCAGGTGAAACATGTAATGTTTAGATATCAAATACTTAATAGTTTTCAGTTGCTTTTTCGTTTGAGTCTATTTCTCAGTTTTAAACATGTTGACTAAAAACAATCCAGAGTCACACTCAGAAAATATAACGGTCTGTTTCCCTATCTTATCTAATAACCTTCTGGGTAATCACGTCTTGGTTTGACACGTATGCTGCCAAATTTAAAATGAGCACCCCTGTAACAGATCCCTAATTCATCGTCATACAGTCACTTTGCCTGTGTCGTCCACACACAATGTTTCTCCTTCTTCTCGTCCCCCTCGTGGTGGGAGACTACCCCTTTAAATATCTCTCTACCCTGGGAGGACAGAGTCAACGATCTGGTAGGTCGTCTCACCCTGGACGAGATCCAGCTACAGATGGCCCGTGGGGGTTCAGGAATTAAAGCTGGTCCCGCTCCTGCTATATCCCGGCTTGGAATCAAACCTTACTCCTGGGACACCGAGTGTCTCCGGGGGGATGTATGGGCGGGTGAGGCTACATCATTTCCCCAGGCATTAGGACTTGGAGCCTCATTCAGGTGAGACCTTTATGAAGGAGATAATGAAGCAGAAACGTGCCTACA